ACAGACGCTATTAAATTAGATATTACAAAAATTGCTCTCTGTCTCCAACTCAGGAATTTTCTACAGTTTTTCTCCAAACAAAAACATCAGTTTCTTACTTTATTCCACCAACATGTCCTCCTTGTACTGCACCGAAAGTGGGCAAGACTTTTTTGATCTTTCTTCCTCTTTCACAGTTTCATAGTTTGTATGGGCTTAGAAAACCAAGCCAATATTTCCTGTAGTTTCAAAGCGTATACTGAATCAGAATGGTAAAAAGGATGTTAATGTTGGGTGAACTTTGTGCAGTAAACACACATGAGGCCCCCGAGCATTCTGATCAAATATTTATACAGGACTCCAAATGTAATATTAATATTACCTTAATGTGGCTTTCTGGATATCAGCAGCATGCTAATGAGGGAGGTTACAACGTTTTTTAATATTTTGGAGACTTTGAGGTTTATTCAATTTTATGAGATTGTATGTGTGTTTGTGTTTGTATGTTTTCGGCAGCATTCATACTTTTTTACAGCTTTAAGTTTTAATGAAGGCTATGCCTAGTTTGTACTGTATTTTAGTGTGTTTTTATTTATATATTTCATATGTGTGTGTGTGTGTGTGTGTGCTGCGTGTGCGTGTGTGTGTGTGTGTGTACAGTCAGTACATTAGGGTTCTTTTTAGGTTTTGCAAAATGTAGGAAGTTCAAAGTGCTTTTCAACAACTATTTGAGTTGTTTGTTTATGTGTCTGTGTGTGTGTGTTTACTATGTGTGCCACCATGTTTGCATGTGTGTATTCCTGTGCTGATGTTGGAGAGTGGATGCATGTTATGTTACGTGCAGTTGCATGAACAACTGTGTGTGTGAGCTTCAAATATTTGCGTGTGGTCCGACTGAGAGACGGTAATAAAAAGCAGGTTGTGTTTGGAACATTTCACAGCCCCCACGATGTGTGTGTCCCCCCCACACTATCAGCACATTTTGCTAGATTTGCCAGTGACTCATTGAGTGTATATGCCTGTATGTTATTGCTCGTTTGTATGTTGTGTTTGCAGCGTTGTGGGTAGATCTAACTCTCCTGTGAGTCGGCCTCCTCCAGCGGTCTGCAGCGGTAGTCTAAAATTATTCGGAGGAAGTATTTAACATATTAAAACAGCTTCACATGCCTCCACTGAGCAGAGCCATCGAGTTCACACAGCAACTCTGCTCCTTAAACCGGAGTAATCAAAGTGTTTTAGTGTTTAATTAAATATGTGTAGATTCGCCACTGCAACTTTTTTTTTAAATATTCATATCACATATGGTTTTGTGGATCAGCCATAGAGAGGAAATGTGGTGTGGAAAGAAAGGAACTGAGGCTGACACATGATTTATGCTTCACAGTTGAATGTGAACCCATGTCATAACATTACAGTTACATCACAAACATAGAGATAATATTAATGTGGTACGTTATTATACCCTATAGAGAAACTTTCCTTTCTCCTGCCTTTTCACAGCCATACAGAGCTTCTTGCATCATTTACACACCACCGGGCTCTGTTTTGAGATAAGTCAACATCCCAAAGATTTCAGAAGGGGAAATATGTGAGAAGCACATACATTTGATGTCAGTATGTACACCACTAATGTAAATACATGTTATGGAAGGAAAACAGCCCAAATTCTCAAATTGACAATACAAATAATATTTGTCCTGTGGTGTCTCGCCTTCCTCACAGATGGATGTGGGCAGATGCTTTTATATTACCTGTCAGCTTTTTAAATTAACAGCTGATAAAATGTCACTTTAGTATCTCAGATGATTGACGTTGAGATAAAATAGATTCTTATCCAGATCCCAAATTCGGCTAACAAAGGAGTTTATGATTGTTTGACTGTCGTAGTAGTGATTCCTGGTTTATATGTTTGTATGAGTCAGAGGGAAAGAAAAGCAGAGGAGATGGATGTGACAAAAAAGGGAGTGTAGGTAATCAGGGAGAGGAAAGGAGAGGAGAAATGATCCATGGTCTGATGAGAGTACTTCATCCAGAGGAAGGATAAGTAATATTGCATTTGGAGAGGTAGTGAGTGTGGAGCAAACGGGGACTGTGAGGAAAGTACATTTTTCCTCTAACATTCTCTGCAAATAAATGATTGCCTTACATGCACATGCAAAATGTTAAACAAGGGGCAAATAAGTGGAGGGAAAGCTCAGGAGTTGGTTTCAGTGAAGGCCACAGCTAGGAGAACTCACTGTGGCTGTGATGCAATACATGCACGTTTCTCAGGCAAACCCGTAGGGTTTGAGAAAAACACGTGTTTAGTGTTGTAAAAGAAGAAAGAGAGGGTGAGTGTAAACTGAGCGTTGGGCCAATTGAAACGTTTGAATCCAAAAGTCTATTCTACATGCAGTTGCATTCGTTGCAGTAAATGTAGCATGAAGGGGGGAAACCTCAGAGAGCTAACCAGACTCTTGGAGCTTCCTGGAAATCCTCCAATAGGAACATTCCTGCCTGTTTATGAACTGTTACGCACTCACACAGGGCGTAGTAGAGCACCACATTGATCTTAAATATTCAAATGTATCCCACATTCAGGGTGTAAACTGAAACCAGGACAGAACAAAGGAAATAAAAATCAACCTTAATGAATCCAAACCCACGCTTATTCCATCTGCTTTACTGTTTAGCGTTTCAGCCCATTTGGATTGATAACGATGCATTCTGTTACACATGTAGGCCTTTTAAATGCACACAGAAACAAGACAAATAAATCCACACGCGCACATGCATTTTAACACTAAGATTATTATCCTGTGGGCTTTCAGCACCCAGAGCAGCTTTGGCCCCGTTGCTGCATTTGAATTTTTCTTCCTGCTTCCCAAATGTCTCTGGACGTTTGGAATTGGGCCCCCTGGACCTTTTAGCAAACACATAGAGGATTTTATGTTGCCGTCTTCTGCCAATATCATTTCTCAAGTTTCCTGGCAGTGAGACTGATGTAAAAGCCATTTGATGGATGCTACCATTACTTTAGGTTAGGTTAGTGTATTGCTTAGATAAACAGGAAAGATGAAACAGAAGGGATATCATACAAACATTTCAACACTAGTCTACTACACTAGGTGGAAGCAAATACTCTGTATACCTATTATGACAGAAGATTGCACTCAAAAGAATAAAGTAGTTCAAATAAGTGAAATAACAGACACACAACAAATGCGCTGATTTAACCCCACAGCTCTGTGGTGCAGGGACAAAGGTCAAAGGTTGTGACAATTGGAACCTGTTTACACCTTAGGAAACGAAATATGCAGAGTACGGCTCGTAAAAAATGATTTCCCATGAGCGCCCTGCTCTGCTGCTGGTGTGACAGAGCTTTCTGTTGATTCCCATCTCTGGAGGTCAGCCGTTTACTGGCAGCTGCAGCCATGCAAGTGAGGAAAATGGATTAATCTACAAGCCTGTAAAAAGTTATGCTAACATTATCGCACACACGTGGATAAACATTTCCACAGAGCAGGCATTTAAAAAATGCAAACATACAAAAGACTGTGATTCATACAGAGCGAAAAGAATGACTTTTATTGAGTTGATGAGTTTCTAATGTGGTCGTCAGCAGATCTGTTTTGTCTAAGTGTCTATGTTGGAACCTTACCGATGGGTGTGCATGCAAGCAGCTACAAATGAATGCTCACATGTATTCCTTAGACTTATCTCTCATCTGTGTCCGTTGACGTTGTTAAACCTCAGTGGCATTAGCAGGGGTTAGTCCACATCTGTGTGTGTGGACGGTCCTGATGGAGTCAGGCTGCTGTGATAGCTGATAGGTCTGTGACAGAGGCACAATGGCCTTCAGACAGCTTAAACAGGGATTAAACTCTTTCTCCTTCCCGACCCCTCTGCTCCCAGAGGAATCACTCCTTCATTCCCCAGATGATGATTTACACGCCCAGTAATCCCCTCTGTGAACAGACCTACATGCTTCCCACTGTGGAGATAATCTCAAATGTCATCTAGTCACACACCCACAGCTTTGTATTCTATAATATCGTCCCTTAGGGAACTTATAAGGCCATTGTATTTCACAGAATGGTTAATCAGAGCGTTTTGCAGAATCATCTTAATGGCAGCGTGTCCTGAATATGTTTGGTTGGAGACGGTTTGAATCTATGTATTAAACATCAGCTGCACTCATGTGACCTGCCAGCATAATGAATACAGATCAGTGTGGCTGCTGTTTGTTTGTGTGCTTACATGTGGACGGTTTCTGTAGACAGAGAGGGGATCTGAAGCTGCTGGAGTGGATACACATTAGGACCTTTATATATATTCATTTAAGTAATACTTCCATATAGAATACTGAGGCACTTTTTGAATGTTTTGTCTGTTGGAAATGTGTTTTTATTTGAGGAAGAATGACATGTAACAAAGACCCCTGACCCAGATTCACAACACTATCATTTATTGAGGGTGTTTCTGGATTTGTGCGACATTTTTGAAATAATTTACAATATTGCTGTTTTAAAAAAGCTTTAGATGTTGTTGTATATTTTCAATGCATACATAACAGGAAGGACAGCGATACAAAGACAAGGCTCACACACATACAAAACAGAACAAAATCATAAGGGGTGGAGGGGGCAGTTACAGTGTTCATTTGATTGTATGCATGCACATGCTCTTGTATCATGATTTACTCCATAGCATAGATATACTTTCATCTTTTTATTTGACTTTATTCTTACCTTATCCTTTAAAAAACAAACAAATGTAAACTACATTTGACATATTTTAGAAGCAGTCAACACTAAGTAATGTCTCCTAAAAACTAAACAAATCCTACTGTTTCATAGACTTACAGGAATGTAATGGGACACAAATATAGGTTAATATTACTTTCATGGATAATAAGAGAGGTCTTAATAATTGTATTAACTTTGCCCTTGTATTGTGTGTGTGTGTGTGTGTGTGTGTGTGTGTGTGTGTGTGTGTGTGTGTGTGTGTGTGTGTGTGTGTGTGTGTGCGCGTGCGTGCAGGCAGATTAAGGACCAGTCGAAGAAGATGTCCAACCTGAAACACATGGAGCAGCTGGAGAAGAGCAGGAACGCCCAGCTGATGGACGACGCCAAGAAGAGAGAGGACAACCTGAACCAAAGCTCCCAGCAGATCAAGGTGAGAAGGGAGGAAGAGGAGGAAGAGGAGGGATGAGTGGGAAGAGGAAGCTGGGAGTTTACGCAGGGAGATGGGTGGAAAGAAAGTAAGACGGAAAAAGTTTCTCTCCGTCCTACTTTGAATAATGTCTGCTATCACAACAACGGTTCATCATAACGTGACAATTGTGACAGGAAGCAGCCTGAGGCAATGTCAAACACACTCCTCTCACCCACACACACACCATGCAGCTCTCGCTTTGGGAGTATGACGGGTAACTGAAGGGGGATGATTGACATCCTGTGGAGAGGAGAGGAACATGGTCGTAGCAGTGAAGAAGAGGAAGGAGCTGAGGTGATTAGAGGAGGAATAAAGGACACACACATTGAAACATGCAGTGAATGCTATGGGTTTGCGTGGAGTGACAACATCTCCTAATTGTCTGCCGAGGTGTGGATCGACCACAACATGAGCAGCCATGTGTTTTCGTTTTATCCTATTTCAGTATACCTTCATTACTTTTATTTCCTTTTTCTTTCCTCGTCCATCTTCGTCATCCTCCTCCCTCTTCTCTTCCAGTAATCACAACCTCAGTGGCCGATGAGAGGCAGATGAAAACACTGTGTGTGTGTGTGTGTGTGTGTGTGTGTGTGTGTGTGTGTGTGTGTGTGTGTGTGTGTGTGTGTGTGTGTGTGTGTGTGTGTGTGTGTGTGTGTGTGTGTGTGTGGCTGTGTGTGGCTGTGATGGAACTTTGGTTTAAGGAGTTGGGAACTTGTCATTTCTGTGTATGCATGTGGTTAGGAGATGAGCTGAAAGCTATGTGAGTCAGTCCCACTTATGAGACCGCAGCGGTTACGACCATGGCTAGTGTGTGTGTGTGTGTGTGTGTGTGTGTGTGTGTGTGTGTGTGTGTGTGTGTGTGTGTGTGTGTGTGTGTGTGTCAATTGACAGCAATCCTGCATTCTTTATCCAGCACAGTTAAGGCAATGTGGTGTGTAACTCAGAGCGTTTATTTAATTCAGCACAATAGGAAGATTGAACCTAATTAAAGTCCATCTCAGTCTGCATAGTTAGACAGCCAGTAATGTTGGATCTGGAGCAGTGTTCAGATATGTTGGAGATGTTCCGAGGTCTGTGCAGCGCCACTGTAATGTCTCATCCTCCTCTCCATCAGGTATTCATTCAACTCTAATTGAACCAAGAACCCTGGCACAAGGCTCTTTATGGGGAATCGGTGGACAGGTCACGTAGTCGTTTTTACTTGGAAACTGCTTCATGAGTGTCCTCAGAGTCCGCTGGAGGATCAGATGTTGTCTAATTTGCGAATATTTTGCAGCTTATTGCAGTCGTTGGAATGAAGAGTGTCCAATGTTTTAACCCTTGGGACGTGTTACGCAAGATGTGACAGAGAAAGCTGTGTTACAACAAACTGATGTCATTTAGTAACATGCAGTCTTGATTTGAAGTATCCTAGACCAAGGTGTTGTACTGTATGTGAGCCAATGGATTCTCTGGCCAGTGTTTTACATGAAAAGCCTCCCATGAAACCATTTGATGACCCAGATGCCAAATTGTATAATATATAGATGAAGTATTCGAAGGATTGTCATAAGAACTTTGTACAGACTTCCATGGTGCATACAGTAGATAATAAATCCTATTAACTTCCTCTACTGCAAGCATGATGTTTGCTTTGTGATTTCACATCGATTTGTCCCTTATTTTTTAAGTGGATTGGAAACAAATGTGGAAATATATGCTCCCCTGACTAAAGCTTTCAGGATCTGTAAACCTTTATCTGATGTCATCATGAAATACAATATTTAATTGATCTGATACTTGGGTCCATTACAAAATACCTGCTTATGTAATTAATGTTTAAGGAGAACAATTCAATTAAACTCTGCTCATTTTCAGGTTCATATTAGTACAAACCACAACACAAGGATTGTAGCCTTTGCAGACCATTTACATGCACAGAAACCTATAGAACACACTACAGGAGAGGAAACCCCTCAAAAGGCATCAGGGCCTCTTTCAATTATTATGAAAACCCTTGATGAGCCAAAATACAGTCACAGAACTGTACATACTATGTGTATGCTTCTTAATAAGAGCTAAATCAATAAACTTTTTATCAGCACGGCTAAAGTTTCCGCTCTCCTCACATTGTGTGCTTTCTCTCTGCAGGACTCCCTCCGTCAGAAGGAGGAGCGCATCGAGGAGCTGGAGGAGGCGCTGAGGGAAAGCGTTCAGATCACCGCGGAGAGGGAGGTGGTGCTCGCCCAGGAGGAGCATTCACGCACACACTCTGAGAAACAGGTCAGTAGCAAACACACACAGTATACGGTGTGCATGACTAAAGAGGATGCCTACCCAAAACCAGTTCATGTGTGACCCAAACCTTTCCCTAAACCCCTATCAGTTATTATTTTTAATCCCTCCTGAGGATTTCCTTTATTTCCTGTCTTTGCTGGGACATTTAGACACGCACACTAGGAAGCACACACAGACAAACATCTTAGGGGCGACATAGAAAGCCTTTCTGACATAGCTAAACATCGCTTTGCCAAAGGTGGCTAATGGCAGAAGCAGAACACCCTGTGCCAACTGAGCTCATTCAGCTGTGTGTGTGTGTGTGTGTGTGTGTGTGTGTGTGTGTGTGTGTGTGTGTGTGGTGTGTGTGTGTGTGTGTGTGTGTGTGTGTGTGTGTGTGTGTGTGTGTGTGTGTGTGTGTGTGTGTGTGTGTGTGTGTGTGTGTGTGTGTGTGTGTGTGTTTGCCCAGAGGTAAATAAATCCCTATTTAAAGAACAGCTTGTATTTTGTCCACTTCAGCTCAAGCGCACAAACAGCTATTTCTCAAATTCAGTACGAGCCCCACCACTCCAATTTGTAATATTGTTATCTATATTAGGACAGTAGCAAAGCTCATAGTGATGCTGAGGGAGGCTCAGAAGGGAAGGGTTTAATGGATTCCACCTCAGACCAGAGGGAGTGTGTGTGTCGCTCCCCTGGGTGCCAGAGACGTAACGAGGGCATGGAGATGGGAACTGTTCCTCGGAGCCGGGATTGGTTTTGACAAGTGGGAAAAAACAGCGTGTGCTGTAGGCATGAAAGCTGCGCTGAGAAAACAGACCCTGTAGCTGTTGGCAGTGCAGTCGGCTGATTGTTGCTCCTGCCTCTCTGTTGGCCGTCCTCTCTGACCTCTGCTCACCTGGCTGCTTCTGGACAGACACATACAGACACACATTTTACTGCTCACCCAGGGTTAATGTTGGTGGGGGCCACACTGCTTTGGATATTTCTTTTGTAGGAATGATGCTACTGAAAATACATTTTTGGAGATTTGATTCTAGAAATGTGATGCAGCTGTAGTGATTTGAGAAAGCAGATACATAATGTGTGCATAGAAATAAACATACAAATCATTTTCCTGAGCGCAAATCATCCAGAGTCATGAGCATACAATATATAACATGTGTGCAGGTTTATTACCTTCGAAAAAGACATCCTTTTTACTGATCTGATAATGGTTGGTTGCAGAAAGATCATGGTTAGGTTGACATTTCTATTTAGTTAATGATAGCAGGATGTCATCATAAATACAATTATAACTTTGTGTTGAAGTCAGAGTTTTGTGGACACATCCATCCAACCCGACCTCCTCACTGTTTGTCGCTCTATAATAACCTCACCTGTTGTCTCCTTTGATAGTGAAGGAAAAAGCCGCTAGAGGGCTTTGTCACTGGAACGTAACCGTTTTAGCCTGTGGTTATATTTCTTTAGGAGGACATACTGTATATGTAGCCTGTTTCCTTTGCACTGACCTTTCAGGAGGCCCAGGAACCATTTCAGGAATGTAGGACTCTAGCCTGCATTTAGACTGGACGAGCAAGTCTGTATTTAGTACCAAGGCCATTGTCGCCTGCTGCAAGGGTGGTACTAAATACTCATTTCTACTACGGCAAGACAACCATGAATCACTCAGAAGGCACAAAGTTATCTTTTTCCACCTTGGCAGGTCTCCTTTGAATCATATTATTAGTTCCATAGTTTACAAACATGATGAGTCTGTGTTGTTTACTCATACATAGCCATGTTTTTAATATTCCTTATAATTCCCTAATCTTTCTTTCTTCAGATCCAGTCAGAAAGCAGATACAACATACACTAAAGGAGCTATAAGTTCCTCTTTCTATATAGTTCCTGTGGTTCTGTAGTCTATGGAGCAACTTATCCAAAAAAGAAAAAGCAGATCTAGTAATAATAACGCATGGCTTAAATACAAGAAGATCAACGAGGCCTAAGGCTTTGGGTTTTCACAATAAAAGGAAAGGAAAGATGGAATAATCCCATCCAACATGTGTATCCTCCTGAAGTAGACTGTGGCATAATATGTTTACAGTAATTGTGCCAAACTCTCACATTTAATTTGGCATGAATATATTGAAATACTCTGAAATGCTACAAGTGACAGCTTTAATTAGACGTAACGGAGGCCATTTAGGCCAGGGCGGTGTGCTGGAGAGCGTCCTCCAGATGAAATGCTTCAGTGAAGGAGGAAGGAGCAGAAACGGCAGCGTGCGGTGAAACCAGTGGAGATGGCAGACACACACTCGGCGCGGTCCTCATCCAACGTCAACACCATTCACTGAGCCTGAGACACATCTGTGCTCACTGACAGGACAGCTACGCACAGGACGGCGCTCCACATAATCCATACACACACAATCATGGCGGAAAGGAGTGCTAACTGCTATTTAAATAGCACGCCGTTTAAATAGCAGTCCCAGCACAATATGGCATTCAGCAGCAGCCAGGGCAGACGCCACTTTGGTTTTCTTACTTGGAAACGTGTCTCTATACACAAGAGTAAATTGTAAATAAATATTGTTGTGTTCCCGTTTCCTTAACCGCGTCACTGCAATTAGGCTTTCACATCATCATTTATGAAACGATGACAACTTCCTCCCTTAATGAGGTCTGTTTAAATGCACACACATGGCTTATAATAGCATTGGCACACACTGGCAAAACAGGAACACACACACGGTGACTTTATATTGGCACATATATTGAAAACCTGTTTGTGTTTATGTGTGCGAGAAGAGAGGAACTGTCCCAGGGTTTGCTGACAAAAGAGGTTAACCAAACCACAAGAAAATACACTGAACCTTTTCTGCTAGACTTGAGTCATATCTGTGTGTGATCACTAAAGAGAGGTGGATGAGTGTGTCTCCTCTTTGCTCCCCTCCCCTCCTCTCCTCCTCCTTTTCTTTTCCAGCCGGGCCTCGTCACTCCTCCTCACCCTCCCTGCATCCCTCCATCCTTCAAACTCTACATCTCTGTTAGCCTTCCAGCTCTATTTCTTCATTCTCTGTCCTTATTTCACACTCATCTTCACTTCCCTCCTCTCTGTCTCGTCTGAATTGCATTTGTAACGCTGCCTGTGCTTCTGACTGTTCAGCGTTTGATCTGGTTATCTCTTGTGCTTAGCATTTGTTTCTTTCGCTTTACAGTATATCTTTTCACTTGAGCTTTTTTACAATGTTTCTCTTTCTTCTCGTTTCTCCTCTGCTTTTCCTCTCTGCATGTTTGTTGTTTCTGTCATATCTCCCGCTTCTCTTCCACCTCCTTACCACTTCTATGTATGCCCTATAACACCTCTCTCCTACTCTCATCCTCCCCTTTTCCTTCCTATGTCCACTCTGCCATTTCCCCTTTTCTGTACCCATTCTCCTTCTCCCTCTGTTATATGTATTTCTGTGTGTGTGTGTGTGTCCCCCCCCACATTTAACCATCCCATTTCCTTTCTCTGTTTCCTCTCTCCTACCCCATATCTCTCTGTCTTTGCTCTTTTTGTATGCAGCTCTCTCACATTCCAATGCATGAGTTCACCACAGCCGGCTTTAGGTGGTCAAAGGTAACAAATAATCATTACAAACCTCACTCAGTCACCACTATTTTACTACACATTTCATCCTTCATTCATGTCTTCACCATTCAGTTTTCTTTTTATTCCAATATGTCACACTTGTATTGAAGTAACAGCAGCATGGGAACTTGTAAGTGTTGTACAGCTTGTGGTATGCATTCATTCATTCATTCATGCTGATGTTAAAGCAGACCTCCTGTACCCAGTAAACTGAGTATTTTACCTGTCAACTCTTATTTTATCTCTGAACAGGAACTGCTTTCAGATTTAGCTCATCTTCCTTTTTTTTGCTGATGCCATGTGTTTTCTGAGGAAATATATGTACCTTTCTGATTATCTTTCTCTCTTGTTCTTTCTCTAAAAAAATGTTTTTCTGTCCCACACTCCTTGCTTCTCTTTTTTATTTGAGTAAAAGAGAAATAGGGAGTACACAACTAGAAAAAAGAGAAAGAAATACCCAAGGGAGAATGTATGACGTGTGCGAATTACTGTACAGTGACAACAAACATTAAACTTACAAACTGAAACACACCTCGACAAAAACAGAGATTAATTATTTAAATTGTAGAAGAGAAAATAAAAGAAAGCATGGTGAAGAAAATCATTTGATGTTCCAAAATAGAGCTTTTCATGTAAAAACAGAACAATTATTAAATCATTTCAAAAGAACAGAAGCTGTCAAATACCCACACACACAGAAACACACACATATAGGAAGCTGAAGGAAAACATCAATATATTAACATTATCAGATTCACGTTAAAATATCTTACTTTATGTGTGTGTGTGTGTGTGTGTGTGTGTGTGTGTGTGTGTGTGTGTGTGTGTGTGTGTGTGTGTGTGTGTGTGTGTGTGTGTGTGTGTGTGTGTGTGTCAGGTGGACGACCTGCTGGTTGCCATGGAGAAGGTGAAGCAGGAACTGGACGTGATGAAGGCCAAGCTGTCATCAACTCAACTCTCACTGGCTGAGAAGGAAGGTCACCTGACGTCGCTGCGGGCCGAGCGGCGGAAGCACCTGGAGGAGGTCCTGGAGATGAAGTAAGACACACACTTTTTACAACTTTATTTATGTTAACATGTATAACAGCTGAACGTAAACATCGAGCGCCGGACATTTATGTAATTTATCATGTTTCCAAAGACACAAACACACCACTGGGGAACATGTATTTCTATCTGTCTGCCTACATATTCCCCTTGTCCCTAAAGCTGTCTATCTCCACATTTTCCATCATTTTATTCAGATTTGAAAACATTTAAAGGCACTTAGAAGAAAGAGGCTGTGTTTAAGGCTTTATTAGCAGTTGTGTAAGGCTGTACCACCACATTGTTTTTTCAAAAGAATAGCCAACAGGATCCGAATATCATCAGTTATTCAGGTACTTAATCCTACCTAAGTGGACACATAATCATTTTGATGATGGTGCTAGAGAAAAAGTCAGAGTATTTTTTTTCCAGTTAATCCTTAGGGAAACATATATGTGTGCTAAATTGAGACATTTCACTGAAAACCTCATAGTGGTGGGAGAGAAAAGGTTAAAGGATCATCAAAGTCAGTATGATTTATTATTCTGGGCATTTTCAATGTTTGTTCAAAGTTTCATGGCAACCCCTTCTATAGTTGGTATTTTGGTTTGGACTGACAGACTGACATTGCCACAGAGCCCCATTGCTATCACGGCACTTCAAAACATTACGTGATAGGCTAAAGGGCGGTGTTGGGGAATAATTTGCCCTGCATGTCCTCCTTCGCCATCTGACGCAGCTGACCAACCTTGAGCAGCCGTTATCTCCCATAAGGAGGGGCTGCCCTAGCATATTGTTGATGTTGCCAGTTTATGACCGGGCACCTCTCTGTCAGAGATAGTTATTGTTGTGGAACACATCCTTCTCGGGGTGTAGATGACCCCGAGCCATAAGCGACAACAAATGTGATTCAGTGTCCTCAGCTGTTTAGTCTATCTATTGAAGAATGTTGATTATTACACTCTGAACGAGTTAAAACCTGGAGCTACAGGAGGGGTCTTCAGAATTGATCGTGTGGTCAACTCGTGGCCCGGGACATGTCTTGTGAATTCTCCGGCCGAAGCTCCAAATAAACCGTCAGTGTTTGCCATAAAAGATCCAGCTCTCTATTGTGTCTCTCTTTGAGTCCTGACTCCAATTGCTTCAGAAGTTTCCCCCACAAAGGCGGGACATCTCTAACGGCCCGTCCACATGGCAGCGTTGCGTGCTTCAACGAAGACGCTTCCCATTCACTTTGAATGTGGTGACGTCGCGCTTTGCCGAACTGCATTGTGGTTCCGTCGTGTCGCTTTGCCTCCGTTGCTCGCTTCGAAAGTTCAACTTTTCAAGCGTCGACAGAAGCGCCAGCCAATCAAATCATATGACAGTACAAGCACTAGCCAATCAAACCGCATGCTTGTGTGTCCGGGGCGGGAGATTAATGTGATTGGTTGTTGGTCGCACGCCAGACACGCCCACCGGCAAGCTTCAACACACGCTGCCGTGTGGACGTACCGTAAGCAGGTTGATCAATCACAACCTAGCCCAGTTAACCAATCAGAGCAGACTGGGCTCTGGTTTCAGACAGAGGGTGAAAAGATGTGCTGCAGCACAGGCAGTATGAAGACAATAAAGAGCTTTTTGAACATTAAAGCATGGAGACATGTCCCAGGGGAGACACTACATATAAATATGAACCTGAAAAAGAGCAGAATAGGGCCCCTTTAAGATCAAGACTCACCCTTTAACACTTCCCCTGAGTTTAGCAGCCCTTATCATATCTCCAGTAGTTTCCCATGTTGCCTCAGTGTTCCAGGAAGGTGGGCACTGGTCACCCTGATTTGATCATCACCTGACACCTCGTCAACTCCCGCTTTCCTCTTCCTGTCCTTACCTCTCCCTCTCCTTTCTACTTTTATCTCCCCCCTCTTTCGCTCAGCACTTTAAAGCCATAGAAGTAAGAAGTGTGTTAATGGAATAACCATGTACCGCTGTCCAGCTCTTCATATGATTGATTTCATCCACAGACACCCGCACACACTCATGCATATGCTGTAACTCAGCTGCAGTCGAATGTGATTTTAATGGATGGGTTTGCATTTTAAGTGCAGCCAAGAGGAGTCCAGCAGTCCGAAGACTCCCTGTATTTTCTGCCGTTTTACATCCTCACTGAGACCTTACAACGAGGCCTAATTTAGTGGAACTCTGTTTCGGGCAGAAATTGAAGCCAACAAGAAATGTCAGTGTTAGCATGTCCTGCCTGTTTATACGCGCTGTGGGACTATCTTTTACTGTGGCATGATGGGAAAATGAAGGCATGGGCTGTGATTTAGTTTTCCTGCACTCTGTGTTTTTCTACCGTATGTAGCACTTCTTTGTTTTTGAGGGAGAGACAGAGAGTGTGTGTGTGTCCAGCGGCATGTCCATTCACAGGCCAGGTGAGCAAGTTATTGGCCATTTTATCACCGTGGTAACAACCCGTGCAATTACTACAAGCATCAGCGCTTTAGAATGCGCGGCCTTGTTTTGGTACGTGCACTGGCATGTGTGAGTGCACGTGTGCAAGCAGGCTATGATTGATTTATTGCCCATTTCCAAAAATACAGGCCCAATGATGAACAGGCATCATGTACATATAAACACAAATGCAATAGCAACATACAAACACACACACTGACACACATGCAAGACTACATTTAACAGATTCCAGTGGGATGTTTAAATCTAGCTATATTTACTTCTCTACTATGCTCATGTATACTTCCATAGTGGTTACCATCTTCATCAGACACCCCTTTGTCCTAACTCTGAACTGTGATGTGACTCTTTGTTTCCATAAAAACATAATACCTATTGTCCACAGACCAGGTCAACACAGACAACAGACAAAACTCCAAATAGCACCCCCTGTTTCGTCACATCTAAAAATACCTAAAAACCACTAGTAAAAACATGAGCAATACATAGGCATATCTTCCATAGCATCTGTAATTCTACAATTACATAGAAGTTGTGTATTTTCAGATATATTGACACCTCTTGGTTCCATGGAGCAAAAGGCACATTTGACGTGGCTCGATGAAATAGAAAAGGCCGTTTTGATAATTATGTATCTACGCAAGTCAGCGTTTCAAGGCACGTTTTGCCCCTTTGATGTTATTCTAATTTGGGTGTTTTGGTGCCTTTAGGGGCAGGTTATAATTACCTGTGAAATAATACATTTGTATCACATAATGGTTTATTAGTTACGTAAACACATTTTCCTCCTTCAGTTTGAATCATAAAGTCAGTTAGTTGGTCTCACCAATATTGATTGTTTTTTAAGATATTATTTATTTATTGTTGCCCAGCAGTTTGTTTGTGTATTGAGTCCTACCAACACTTCCACACCACTTACTCTTTCTTAAGTTTCAATCTGCGTAGGGGTTGTTTTCTGATCAAAAGTAGCTCCAGCTCTCACCCTGAACACATTAGATATTCTTCTTTACAGTAAAGCCTCCATGTCTGCAGATGCTTATGAGAATTGTTGCATGCGTATGTGATTACTTGACAACGCACTGGAAGGAACACAGCCCTTTCATGCTCTGCCTTTGCATAATACATGATCTTTTCCAGTCTGCAGTAATATATTCTCCGCACATATTTGGGATATTGTGTAGTTTTGGGTCAGGTAGCTGCACGATGTCTTGCTGTGAGTTATGCACATGACGCCACCGCTCATATTTTTCATAAGACATAAGCGTTTGGTCAGCAAATACGTCATTTGCTTCTGGCTTCCTCCCACATGTAAAACATGAGATGTTTGAGGTGGCTGCGTCCTGTGCGTCCATATATCTCCGTGTAGCGCACATCAAACTGTCTCTGCACACACACACTGCCGTAACTCTTCGTGGGTTTGATGTCGGACCCGCTGCCCAGTTTCACATTGCTGTAAGGTTTAATGTTTCAGAGCTATGTTGGACAGGCAAGGAATATAATAACACACACTCTCACTCCCATGCAGAAATATATACCAAACACAGCTGGAATACGACACTCTTTTTGCCTTCTCTGTTTCCTCCGTTTAGTTCTCCTATTGCTTTGCACACACACATGCACTCACACACACACACAGTGGTATGAGCGACTATCTTTCACCAACTGATGTTTTTTTACTCCAACATTATGCTAACCTTCAGTCCCAGATGTGTATTGTTAATGTGTGCGTGTGTGTGTTTGTTAGCCAGCCAAGGGAGAACACACTATAGTTTTTATATATAATAAAGAATAAACATTCCCACGTTAAATATCTACATAAAACCACATGCAACATCCACAAGACCGCAAATACAAACTAATAACATTTAACACACACACACACACACACACACATACCATGTATACATCACTTCAGGGGACATTACATTGACTTACATGCATTTCCTGGAGACTTATCCTAACCTTAACCATAACCAACACATGCCTAACCCTTACCCTAAACCTTACCAAGTCTTCACCCTAAAATTAATGATTCCCCTCATGGGGACCTCCAATTTGTCCCCATAAGGAAGGCGAGTCCCCACACGTGACTGTGTAAACAGATTTAGGTCCCCACAAGTATAGTAATGCTAGGCCACACATACACACACACACACACACACACACCAAATCCCATTAAATGGAGACACAGGGATTACACAAACAGAGCTACACACCTCTGCCCTGCAGGGCTCCATCATGCATCTTTCCCACTGATAAATCATCTGCAGCGACCTTCACACACACTCGTAAAACACACAGGGAGACATATTTTCTTCGTGATATACATTAAATATGCACATGCTCATTCTCTTAGCAGCCTCATGTGTGCTTGTGGTCATGTGTTTGGAGTATGCAGGCGTGTGTGTGTGTGTGTGTGTGTGTGTGTGTGTGTGTGTGTGTGTGTGTGTGTGTGTGTGTGTGTGTGTGTGTGTGTGTGTGTGTGTGTGTGTGTGTGTGTGTGTGTGTGTGTGTGTGTGTGTGTGTGTGTGTGCAGCAGCCAGCTGGAGGAATGT